TAAGGATCAAATGTGCCAAAATAAGATTAATTCGACTATTCAGCGAAACTTTGTTTGTAGTTTACTAAATAAAAACATTATTTAAGCGTTGACTTACTTACTTGAACTTCAAAACTTTCAAGGTTATGCAGCAAAAATAATTGTAAGTGTGGCAACATCTCTTTTGACACGCTCCACTGTGTACACTTACAACAAAATACACTACAAGTCATCAAGTCACCCTTAAACCTAGAAACTAGTAGCCTTTGGAAATAATTTCTAAATTTCTAAATAGATTTTATTGTTTACTTCGCCAGAAATATTTTCTAAAAATGCAATCCTATTTATGGTAAAATGCTTGTATATCTGAAATCTTCAAATACAAATTTTTAAAAATAATATATGTAACAAAAATGGTAATCTTACAGTTCTGTACACACATAAAAAAAACCTTCTGGAAATTAAACATGGCTTCAGATAAATTGGCTTTTAGAACAATACAGCTTTTTCAAAAATATAATTTCGGATTACTAAACGGAACCACCCTTTTTCTGAGTGTTGTAACAATGTGTTTAACCCAAATGTCAGAGTAGTAGAGAAGCTGCAGCTGCCAAAAATTTAAACGGACTAACACACACATACACACACACGGAGCAACAAACCCACACACAAATACACACAATCAGGAAATAAATTATTTTTCTTTGCAATATGTAATACAATATGCATTATCATCGCGCGGTTAAGCAAATATAATAGATGGGAGAAAACAAAAAGGAAAAGAATGTGCAGCAAGAGAAAAATGAAAGCTGACACAACAAATGTCAAAAGCAAAGGTTTTCATCTTGCTTATTTGTGTTTCTTTTTTTCTCAACTTAAGCTGAAAGAATTGTCCCAAAGCTGTCAGATTCAGTTGCCTGCAGATGGATTAAAATATCGAAGCAGCGAAGCTTTGACGGACATATACTCACTCACACAGATATAGACACACACACACACACACAATTGACAAAGAAAAGAGTTTGTTGCTTATTGCTTACACTCGGAAAAATTTTAAGAATCCACATGAATACTAGAAAAATGTTCTTCTTAAAACAAAACATATTGGAAATTTTAAGGCTATTTTCTGTATGTTTCTAGTCATTTTTTAGATCACAAAATTGTATTTAATATTATAATATTTATGATTATTATGTTATAATGATTATAACCAACCGCAGAAAATATTTATTTTAAACATCATTTTATATTGAATTAAGAAATATATTTATAATAAGGCTATAAATAGTAAAATAATATAGAGAAAAAATATTTCTAAAATTCAGAAAAAAGTGCTAAAATGTTCTGGACTACAAAGTTTTTTTTAACATTAAATAATATAAATTTATAAACTATTTGTAATTTTGCTTTATGTAAAATCTTAAAATACTATAATAAAAACAATGTTCTATAATAATATAAATAACAAACAAAATAATAAATACTGTAAGAACTCAGTGTACACACATAAAACCATTCCGGAATTTTAGAAATATTTTTTCTAATTGTAGAAAAATTTTGCATTGAATTAAGAAAATAAAGATTCTTACTTTTAGAATTATAATTTATTATAAAGAAGCTCAGCTGCGCTTGGCCACTTTCTGGATTTCAGGGCGATATTTTTTTCTGAGTGTATACATGTGTATATATTTAGGGTAAGGCTAAAAAAGAGTTGCCTGATTATTGCATACGGTTGGGCTACAGGTGGACATTGCTGCCCCTTAACGTGAACGTGTGTGCAACAGACAAACAGACCATTTTTGTTGCAGTTGCATATCATTTGCATATCTCAAATGCGCTGTCCTGGATCGCAGCATACAGACGCTTATGTCACTTCCATACAACAATATATACACTATAGGTACATACGAGTATGTAGATATGTGCGGCCTGAGGCATGCAAGGGACAAATCGTTAACGATTCTTTGCCCCTTTCCCCAACTCACGTAATTTATCGGTATGCGCAAATATTTGATTTTCGAGTGAGTTGCCACAAAATCCTGTTGACATTTGAAAATGCGTAACTTTTAAGCACAATATCATTTTTGGGTTGGCGAGCTGTCAACGTGGTCTTAGCGTCCATCAATTAATCAACTTCGGACAGATTAGCAACAAAATAAATGACGGAGCTTCAATAGAGGTCAACAGGTTATTAAAAAGTATTCTTAATGATCCTTAAATTTAATAGCTTCAAGATTTTGACCCAACCATCAATAGGATTCAATCACAGATTATTCAAGCTGAACATATAGATGTATAATTTTTATTTACACATATTTCGAATTCCAAATTCAACAATTTGACACATAAAATAAACGCCATTTTGAGAGCTTGCCAAAGTTGCTGCTTGGTTGATGTCTCGGCTAGTTGCGAATGCTGGGCACATCGTTAAGTGTGGAGTGGCTTCGTTAAGTTCGCAAACTCTACAACACGTTCGATGAGTTTTTTTTTAGCTGGAATCTGCACAAAATAACAATACTTGTCAAGATTGCTTAACCTCCAGATATCCTGTAACTAGTTTTATTAGTCGATATTCAGCAATATAAATAAGTGATTTATGTTGAAAATATAAAATCTTGATTGTCGTGTAATATTTGTACAGCACTGAAGACGAATCCCGATGGGATTCGAAAATGATTGGAGTTAGCACCAATTAATAAGCAATAAATAACTAAAAAATACTAACTATTTGTATTGCTCTGATTGGGTTTTTATGGGTTTTCCAATCTCCATGTAAAAAATGCTAAAGCTTTTTGCATCAAAGTACCGCAGAAATCATGTGAATCGTATAAGTATTTAATTTAATATTAAAATGCTTTAAAATTTAATATAATCAATTTTTTACTTTTAGTGTTTTTTTATTTTGCTGTTTTTACTGTCTTTATTTAAAATTAAAAAGGCAAAATAAAAAAAAATCATATGTCATCTAACTTTATTATTATGACACCTTCTTTAAGCTGGAATGTCGCACGGCTCACAAAACGCTTGGCAACCCTAAAAGCACAACAAAAACACTTCGCCAGTCTTTTGGCTTAATGTGGCTTTAAAGCAGCCAGCCACGCGCACCAAGTCAAGACTCTCTTCTTCTAAATTGAACGCTGTCTCTCTCTCTCTCTCTCTCTCTCTCTCTCGGTCTGCCTCTCTTTTTGTGTTGGCTCTCTCTCTCATGCTGCGTGCTCTGCACTTGTCCGAGCTTAAAACGTGTTTTTAGCTGCTTTGCAAACCATTCTTCAGTTTTCAGTTTGTTAGTTCAATTCGAAACGCGTCTCAGTTTGGTTATTGCCTACGGTTCGACGACGGCTGCAACTCTTGCTCAGCCAGCCAGCCAGGCCAAGTGCAATTTTTTCGCGCAGTGTCTGTGAATGTTCGAGTGTTCCAGTGTGTGTGCGTGTGTTTGTTAGTGTGAGTCGTGTTTTGTTGAGTGGAGCAAGTGCGTCCGATTTTGCGATCGGATCGGATCGATTCGTTCGTCGAACGGTTTCCATTTTCAGCTAACGTATTTTTAGCTTGTCATTTGCTTTATGTATGCAAATCGCGTAATTTTACATTACGGTTTTTGTTGATCCACAACGTCATAAAAAAGTGACCAACTAATCACACAGCACCTCTCCCACCACCCCCCGCCCTTGTTATTGTTGTTGCTGTTTTTGATTTCGAATTTGTTGTTGCGCTTTTTACTTGGGTTTTTTGTTGGAAAATTTCACTTTGCATTCAAATCAAGTTTGTGTGTTTTTCTATAGTTGAGTGTGGTCACACTGTGCCCATTACTATTACAACTGCACCATCAACTACTGCCATTTTTGGCTCACTGCACTCGTTATAAGCCAGGCCAAGCCAATTAATGGCCCATTCATAGGCATATTGTGCTGCTTAGTTGTAATGCGATTAATTAGCATAAAGTTTTACAGCGCCCCCGTCAATTGAAGTCTTACGACCTCCACAATTAGAAACCGTCAAGAATAAGCACTTAAAAGAACAAAACATATTAATTAAAAATAGTAATTAAAAGCTGCCAGCCAACTAATAAACGAAGGTCGCCAACAAATGACTTAAACTCTTTTCCAAGTCGTTTTTACAATTCGGAAAGAGTATGCATTTACTCTCTCTTTCTCTTCCTCTCTCTTTCTCTCTCTTTCTGTCTCTTCGTGGAAACTTGTTTGGCACTTTCGGTGAATTAGTCTAACTAATGGCAAATACCATTTTCGAAATAGAAATGACAACAGCAACGCAAAAAAAAAAAATATAAATATAAAAATTGCAAACCAAAAATCGCATAAATAATTGTAAAATACACATAAAAATTAGAAACCGAAAATGAAATGAACAAATAAATATTCACAGTATAAATTATCGAATGAATATATAGCATGACATTGCTCAAGGTGAATGTTGCCATTATATTTTGACAGAATCCACAAGTTAATGGTCACATTTGTTTGGCAGTGTTTGAAAGTACATTAACAATAACAATAATAATATTGCATTGAATGCATAAGCTAGATTTTTTTATAAATTAAAAAACAAATGTTTGTTTTCTTAATTGTTTGCGACTGTTTAAAACTTATTTAAATAATGAAATAAATGAGGTTAACACACACATAAGCAATAACTGCACAAAATCGTTATTTGTAAAAATACACCAATAATTATTATACAAGCCCTCAAACACAACTTTTTCCACTGACACTTAATCTATATCATAACCAAAATAACCTTGACCTTTTCAGCGAGAAAAATGAAATCATAATACTTTTAACAACATTTTAACGGTAACTTAATCTAAGGTGCGCAATAATTATTTCAAGAGTTTTGTTTTAATCCAAAAAAAAACCAGTTTAGCCAGTAGACAATTTTTTTTATTGGTATTTTGGCTAAATGCGCTCAAAGCGCCATAAGTGAAAAAAGCAACAAAAACAAAATGCAAATACTAAGCAACCAAATAAATTGCTAATAATTTACAAATTGAAAGCTAAACACTACGCTAAAAACAAAAATTACAAGCAAAGCCGCAAATTTTATAAACAAAAGCCTTTTGGGATATTACTTAAGCCCCCCAATAGCAAAAACAACAGCAAAAATGTCGATGTCGATGTCGACGTCGACGTCACTGCGCAGCCTCAGCATCATCTTCATCGTCTTTTGCTGTGTCAGCAGCGGCAGCATCGCACAAGGTGAGTGAGTTTAACATATGGTTTCCATTATACACCCTGGCATCGGGTATTCCCATTTTTTTTAGTGCTTTGTTACGCATCTCCCTATTGAATAAATCAGAATACTTTTATTTTATAAAAAAATATTTCATATTTGGATCGCGAGTTTTTTTTTGGCATTTATAAAGACTCGTTTTATTTTCGTTCTTTCTTATTCTACTTTTATTATTATTATATTTTGGTGTTCAACGAAACAAATTTTTGTAGTACATTCTTTGTCGTTGTTATTCTGGTTGTTATCATAGGGTACAATTTGTACCCTAAAAAAAAATAATAAGAAGAATAAAACATGTCTCTGATTCAGATTCAGTTCATGCTAATTAATTTCGTCTTTTTGTTTTCGGCCGCTTTTGCAGCCGGAACTAAGTCGAGGTCTGGGGTCTGTCAGCATTTAAGAGCCTCCCAAGTTGATATGACACAAGAAAATCGTGTTTAAATATTAAGAAGCAAACAACTTTTATCAGATTTGTCACGAAAGAAATAAACGGAAAGAAAATGGCCAATAATAAACCAAAAGAAAAATAAAACACGTATTTCCGCACTGCAAGCCAAACTGTCTAAAGATTTTTCAGCAGGAAAGAAAAACACGACACAGCAACAAAATTGACCTGCACCTGTGAATACATATATGTATATGCACAATGTGTATATGTGTGCGTATGGAGATGTTTTTATTTACCCTTTTGGGAGTTACCGTTGCTGTTTTTGATTTTGCACTTTTTTCATCAAGCTTTTACGATTGTTGTAATAATATGACTTCCTCTTTTAAGTGTGTTATAATGTCAATGTGTCAATAAAAACTGTAGTCATCCTTGTGTATGTGTATGTGTGCGTGTAAGGCGTATTACAAATATGTATTTTGGTTGTTTGCTGCGCAAATATTAACTTAACGGTTAAATGCGCGAAGCAAAATTAATCGAAATTCTTAAGCCAGCCACGTTAAAAAAGTCATCGATAGTTTCAACTTGATCACACTTTGATTTCACTGCTCCGTGCCGTTATGCAAAAGACGTTTGATTCCATTGTAATCGATTTGCTGAAACTAAATAATAATTTGCATAAATATTTCTAATTTAATTACTTTAAATGTAACATTACATTTTATTTTTAATTTTGTTTAATATGTTTTTTACTTTTTGTACTAGTTTTGTGTCGACTGACTTTAGTTGAGATTAAATAAATAAATAAAACAATTTTGCATTTGGCATATTACATATTATCAAATTTATATTTTTATATACCTAATATTAACATAAGAGCTAAGTGAGTATGTTAATTTGAACAAAGCGAAATTAGCAAAAAAAAAACAACAGCTAATTAAATCAAAAAAATTACGCAACACCAAAACTGAAGATGAAGAAACCTTTCTACTAAACATAAAATTCAATACCGAAACAAAAATCCGAAGAGCGTAAAAAACCTAGACAAACAAATGAATTTGAGCAAATATCAAAAAAATGTGTGCTTTGGATAAGTTGTCAAACAAAAACAACGCTAATGAAATTAACTTACTAATGAAGAGCTGATGATCGTAGCGCAGAAAAAAAAAATCAAATGGATATTTGAAATCAAGAAATACGACTTTTGGAAATCTACATTCATTTAAAATAAATGTATATATAGAGACATTGTGTCGCGTGTGTAAAAAGATATAAAAACAAGTTTCTGATCGCATTTATTTGCCGACAACTATGCAAATTACACACCAAATATATTCACACATAATATGGTATGTGGAAAGAGAGTGAGAAAGATATATGGTATATTTTGTAATAACAAAAACGAAAGCGAATCTCGCTCATGGGCTGACTTTGAAAACCCTTCAGCTTACCCTCGTCGCACATTTCACTTTTGTTTAGCCAGCAGTTGTTAATTTGATCGAATTAAAGTACTGCACGCTTCATATGTACATGTGATAGAGAGAGATGGTGCTACTGATATACTATATCTAAATGAAAGAAAGTGAAAGAAATGGGCAAAACGTAACAGGTTCACTGAGTCGCTTTTTCTTTTATTTTTATTTTTGCCTCAAACTGTCACACATGCGTTTTTTATATTATTTTTCTTTTCTATTTTGGTTAATAATCGAGTCTAGTACTCGTCCGAACGTGACGAATACTTTGCTCTCAATCACCAGACACGAGGACGCGACGACATTTCCGAACACAAACAAGTGTTTTTGAGTGTGTTCGTGCATGTGTCTGTCTGTCTGTCTGACGTCTTCGTGGATTTGAGTAATTAGTGTCGATTTTTCTTTTGGAAATTGACGGTTTCTGTTCATAATAATGAGAAAAATGAACGATGACATTCAACTCGATATGTGCATTATTGCAGTGGAAAAGCTGCATTTACACATCCAGCCATTGTAGTAACATGAAATTTTAGCAGAAAAACAAAATGAACATTAACGTGAGATACACACTCCAATGTTATGTATATATGTAAAAAAAATACAAAGTCAACTGTCATTAAACTGACTGAAAATGTGTTTTATTAATATTAATTTGAATTCAGAACACGGCATTGTAACAACATAAAGTCAATGGACAGTTATTTTTTGCTGGTGCCGAAATAAAATAAAAAATTGTAAGAAAATAGATTGATCTATACAAAAATTCCCTTGTTGCGGATTTGGTGTACTGATACAAACAAATGCCAATTGAAACAATAAAAACTAGTTTACTTAAATTCAGTTAATCGATAAGACGCTTGACAAGCTTGATCTATATAGAAAAGAATATATCGCCTAACTAATATCGATAGTTTGCTCAAACGTCAAAATTCTGGCAGCACTTCAATCAGCTTCCTTTCATATTGTCTTTTCTTCTTGCAAACGTGAAAAAGAAGAGTTATAACAACGTCGAAGTTTTCTTTTCTTCTGTTCGAAACGCGAAAAGCAGATTTTATTATTCCCAACAATTAGAAAATTTTGCTATTAAATCGCCTTGAATCGTGAGTAAGGAGTACAATATGGATATATATAAGATGTATATATATTTATTGCTTTTGTCCAATTTGCAGTCGTTGCTAAATTCTTATACGCTTTGCTTGCAAAAAATAATGGCACAGTCAAATCGCAACGATGCCAAAAAGAAGGGAGTGAAACGTCCGTCCGCCTATCCCACCACATCTGATGTCAACACAAAGATAAACTGCCAAATGCAACCGGCTCAATCGTCGAAGCATGTAGTTGAGGAAATCATGCAGAGACGCGTTTTTCTGGGCCGTAATCAAGTGTTGGTCAGATGGACGGGTTCCACAAAGTCGGAGTGGACGTGGGAGTTTCCCGAGTCATTGGGCAAGGATGTAGACAAAAAGATAGCGCAATTTGATGCCAAATATGCTGCCAGTAAGAACGATGCGCTGAGCCAGATCGCGGAAGTTGACCTGAGCAGTCCAAGCAGCAACAGCAGCGACGATGACGACCAGCAACAGCAGCAGCAGCATGTGAAAAGCGTAAAGGACACCAAAGGCACTTCCCAATACGCCTCGGATGCGAGCCGGGAGCAAGTAAGTAGTTGGTGAACTTTTTAGTTAGCGTACGCGTTCAGTCAATCTCAGATTGATACACTCTAAACAGGGATATAGGCAGCAGTGCATGTCTTCCATTCCCAACAAGATCAACTTAAAAAGTCTGGCTTGCAACAGTTTTGTGGCACCTCAGCGAAATGCATCCGCCATAAGATCAAACTCACAGCGCCGAACAGATAGTCCTACAAAATCGAGCCAACCGTTGTTGGCACAGGTGCCATCAAAACCATCGCTGTCCAGCTTCATTTGCAGTCCCAGCATCGCCAGCAGCAGTGCCAGTAGCGTCAGCACTCCCAGCATCCCAGGTACCCCGGAGATCAGCAGCATCAGCCAACCGACTGGCAAATGGAATGCCAATTTGAACAGTAACAGGAGTCCGAGCGGCCTTGAACTTGGACTCGAGCTGGAGAAGATCATCAGGTCGCACAAAATGGGTGGTGAAACGTTTCTGGTGGTCAAATGGAAGAGGACGTCAGCGCTGGATCTGGTGAAGCTCAAAGATGTCACTGATCTCTATCCGAACATTGTTCTCGCGTATTTTACGAGTCTCCCAAGGCGAAGATAGATAAATATGGTAAGCCGGAGTCGGAGTGGGAGTTGAAGTCGAAGACTGTCTTTGCCACACTGTTGCTGCTGACGTTTGTTAAGTGTTGGCCCTGTGCCCATAACCTTAAACATGCGCTTCCGTTTTTTGTGGCGCACAACAGCTTCATAACTTTACAGTTCGACGCTCGCATTGCCATGAGCCATGAAAATTTGTTGTTAGCCGGTCGTCTTTCGTTTGTTTGAAACAAGCTGAAAATTTGCCGCCAAAAAGCTCTTACATCCGCTCTGTGAACGGTACTAACTTTGCTGCCAAACTGCCGTCAATATATCAATATATGCTAGGTATATATATGTATTTCCCTAGCATTGTATGGCTTTTTCGATTGTGCAGTAACAGCAGCAGCAGCAGCAGCAGCTTCTTGTGGCAGCTTCATAAATCACATTGATAACAGCGCGCGTCCAGCCACAAATGACAAATTGCCACAGTATACAGAGAACACTTAGCACATTGCTGTGCCTCCAAATGTAAATGATGAATATGCGCTAAGAAATGTTTATGGCAACTATGTTTTGCTTTTGGCCAATATACTCTTACATATTCGTAGTAAACCGAATAGCTTGTGTTCCTCAAATGATGTTATGTATATTTATAAATATATATAAACTTTTTTTGACTTTTAGAAAGTAATTTGTAATTATACCAGAAACAAATTCTTAATATTATAAACGATTGTTTATCCATTTTTTAAATTATTTCTTTATTACAAAATATACAGCTATCAAGCGTATAAAAATTATAAATACCAAACACTTAGTTTTAGAAGAAAAAAGAAAGACATATTTGCATTATAAAAAGAGTTCGCAAAAAGTCAACCAAAATTCTTTCTCATATTCAGAATAAAGTTTTGCAATTTGATGATCGAAGTCCAAATTCCATGAATTTATATACCATATAAATTATTTTATTATATATACTATTTCAAATCTGAAAATACTATTACATAATAATAAATATAGAGGAACAAAAGCAAATTTAATAGTTCTATGTATACATAAAATCGCACAGCATTTAGAAATATTTGCTCTAAATTTGAAAAAGTTTATCCTTAAATTAAGAATAGCTGATCCAGATTTTTATAAATAAGATGACCTATCCTTGACACCATAGATATAGCGATTTTCTAAATTGCACGGATTTGCCACCTATTTTCTGAGTGTATATAAGGTAGACAATCGATTTGAAATGTTTATATTTATACACAATTAGTTAATTAATTGTAAGAATTAATTTATGTCAAGATGTACAAAATGAAAATCTACGGTTTATGGTTTGGTGTCTGCATTTTATAATTTAGATATAAATTTTTTTTATTTTTATATACGTAAATTTATTCCGATCCTCGTTCTGACCGAACGATAAATGTTTTTTATGTTGAAAATATAAAATGTCAATTCTTGCCTATTTTGAACAGACCTGAAGACATATGTATGTGTACAAAAATAGATATATATATTATTTAAAGATCTTATGATAATGTATCTGCTTGCATTGCAACTACAAATGATTTATATTTTACCACGAGATTGTTACCAATTTAACAAGGCAGCGTATTTGGCGTTCGTCTAGCTAGAACCGATTCTGATGAATTGTGCTTCCACTAAATTTGATTGTGAAGATCAACGTGGCAAGTTATGTGGCTGTGTCTCAGTCTGAGGTTAAGGCTCTCTCTCTTCATCTTTGTCTTCGTTTCGCCTGTTGCCTGATTGTAAGTTGTTTTGCCTGCTTATCGCTGGCATCGCTGCTGACAGCTAGCAACAACAACACACACAGACATACACACACACAGAGCGATGACAATCGTCGCGACGCCTTCGCTTTGAACTCGGCGGCTTGGCGGGAATTTGGCTTATACCATTTTCGATCCGTGACATGTTCGTTTTGGCCAGACGAACCGAACGGTGGGCGTTCGGTTCATTCAACTGCACACATCGATATACCCTACCACCTGCCCCCACCCTATACCCTCACGACCCTCCACCCGGCTGTTGATAGCTGACCTTCTGTGGACCAAGCCAAAGAGACACACCTAATCGGCACATGCCGCCGACTGGCAGTGCTTGTGGTGTGTCTGGCTGGACAATTTGACTTGGCTAATGTGTCCATTTATTGCTGTTGTGCAATTTCAATGCCATTGGCCAGCTCTTTGCTCTTAGCTGATTGCATTTGTTAAGCAATACGTCAAGTTTCTTGTGAATTCGAAAAAGCCACAATCATTAGCAGACTTTCAGTTTTAGCTGTAGACATTTTTTACAAATTCGTGACGGCCATGTATTGACACCATTGGGCGTTAGATATATTTATAGCCGTGCAGAGGCGGTATATATATTCTTGATCAGTATCACTGGCCGAGTCCTTTTGGCTAAGTACGTATGTCTATCTGTTTCTATGCAAACTAGTCCTATGTCCATATATCTGTAGTTCTTGTATGGAAAACTATTATATTTAACAAGTAATCCTTAACAAGCTCACTATCTAAACATGCTATTATGCTTTTAAAATTTGGACTAATCCTTATCAAGACCGAACTACTTTATCATTTAGCTCCCATGGCAAGAATCAGTCAAAAGTTAAGTTCTTATATCGTTTGTTTAAAAAGATTTTTACGCTTCAAACTATTAGATACAAAATCTACCAGATGGGATAAATAAATCGTACAGCTTCCATTTTAGTGATCAGCAGTCGAATTGGCTCAGCAAGGGTATGTAACCTTCGGCGTGCTTTAGTTAGCTGTTTTGCCATGATTTTTGTTTGGCAGTTAAGTGAAGATAAAGTTGGTAAATTTGTAACTATTACGCGTCATGTTAGGGCCTCTGTAAAACATTAAAATATATTTGGTCGGCGCTCGGCTGTATGTTTACGCGCAGTTTTAATTTTCAATTTCAAGTTTTTACAAGTACACAAAACAGTACACTTAAAAATTAGTAATTGAAGTTGAATTAATGGAGGGCATATGGAAAATAAATTTTTGGGATAAACATCCATGTGCAAAAGTAGTAAAAAGTTAATTTAACTTGTAAGTTTTCAGGGTCAACAACAAAAAAATAAATAATATACATAATATGCGTCATCCTGAGTAAAGTTGAAATATTTTTCTCATTTTGAATTGCTGCCACAAGCTTTCCGGTCCGCTTTAGACTTGTCTTTAATCTGCAAATGAAAAAATAATTTTTTCAATTATGTATAACGGTTTTTAATATTTTTTTTTAGCCCTGCAATTGACGTATTGTGTGTTGACTTTAATTCTTGGCTGTAATTTAATCAATTTGGATTTGTAAGGCGCGCTTGTTGCTCAGATATCTATCTATATCGCTGGTGCTCTGTCATTATTTGATATTATTATTGCCATGCAGTTCGTTTCTCGAGTCGACTTTGCTTTTGATTTTGCCAGTCTCGGCCCATTTGATTTATGTGCTGGCTCAACTATAATTTAACCGCCGCGTTGAACAAGTTTTTCATGTTATGCTGCTGCAGCTCATATGCATATAAGGTGCTTAGATGGGGAAACAAAAACGGCATTATTAAACGAACAATTTCATTAACATTTATTTAAAATTTACTTTGTGGTTATTCTACAATAATTATACCTTGAACTTATTGAAAATGGCGCCAAGGGCAAGTCGCCTTATTATTTAGAAAAATCGTATTGTTCTAAAGACCAGGGTCTTTCTTTTCTTAATTCAAGGTTCGATTTTTCTAAAATTTAGAAACAAAAATACTTAATTCCTGAGTGCTTTTTAAGTATGTGCAGAATTCTTATAATGGCATTTTTGTTGCTTAATATTCATATAATCAAATTTTAATACACTTAGTATTTTAAGTCAATTTTAATTCGTGAATTAAGCTAAGCGGTTATGGTATGAAAAAAAAATACAGCAAAACTCTAACAGCCAGAAACGATTTTTTAGTAAGGGTTTGCATTTTACTTTTACTCTTTACAGATAATATATATTACTGGAAAATATGTTTCTGAGAAAATATAAAATTAATTTATAGACATTTTACTTCAATTAGATTTTAATATTTGGAAATACATTTCTGAAAAATATAAAAGAAGTCTTTCTTTTATCTGTTTTAGAATTGTATGTGTATATGCATAATGAAGTTGTGCAAAGTATGTCACATGCGGAAGAAAGCATCTCTGATCTCATAAAACAATGGCAGAGTCTAGCTAACAAGCATAAGCAGGGTCTCTCCTAGTCGATAGTCTCTGGACTAGTGTATATGACATTCCTTAACTCTTAAGTTAGATATTATATTTAATTAACATTTGTTAAATATTTATCTTTGTGTTTATTCGAATGCCTATTTTGATGGGGATTTCCAACACTTTAACGCTCATAAATAAATTGCCCAACAATTAAAATTGCACTTCCATTTAAATAATTGTTAATTTCCTGTTCAAAAACCGCGAAATTTTGACAATTTTCAAACCACTTGTATTTTGAAATTGTTGTCTATAATTGTTTTTTCATTTTTTGGTAATAATTTGCATTTAATTTTTGGCTGGCATTTCCCTTGATTTCTTGTTGTTGTCAGTGTCGGTTCAGGTATTATTACAACAACAACAACAAACACATAAATTGGGATAATTTTTTCAGTCTTTTTGACCATATTTGGTAGTTGATGTAATTACGCCCAAAGACGGCGATGCCGTCAAGCGCCCTCATTTATGACGCTTTGCATACAATTACAAAAACAAAACTAGCAGCAGCAATTTACAGTTGTTGTTGCTGTTGTACTTGTTGTATTTGTAGTTGCTGTAATGCAATTTGTTTAACGCTTCGTTTATTACCAAAAACAGCAACGCATTCGAGACGCTCGTCGTCATCGTTGCTGCTGTAGATCCGTTGGTCGCGTAGGTTGGTAGTTTACTCAATGAAATACAGTTAAAAGCTAGAAAATAAAAGTTTAACAAAGCAAATTCTAAATACCCTCTATAAATCTTAAGTTGACAAATTGATTGGAATTTCATATATAGTCTTTGTTACATGCCTCTATCTCATAGAATGTTCTATTGCCTTAGAGGGACCATTAATTATACCGCTATTTATATTTAGATATAACTTTAATGTATAAGCCCCTCTTTGAAGCCTGCCTTTAGCATTTGGAAGTCATAGAGAATTGATTAAGCTGCAAGTTATTTTATTATGGCAACTGGAATACATTTATATGCAACTAATATTACAATTTGTAATACAGTAAGCGCACTAATGACTAAACTAGACCTTCAGCTTAATTTGTATTATATTTTATAACTCTTTTAAGGTTAGCGTAATTATGCTGCTGTGCTAATTTACTTATTTATTTAATGTGGACTAACAATTTAAAAATTTAAATGATATTAAACTAAAAATGAATAATTAAATTCAAATTTAAAATTAAATTATTAACATTTAAAATGGTCCAAAATTTATTGTTAAGATTGAAAAATTCCAATTAAATTAAAATTTGTTAAACGTTTGTGGTTTGGTAGTAAGAAAAGTAAAAAGTTCATAAAATTTAACATATTCAAATAGGTATTGCCAAGCAGAGATCAAAATGTTCACTATTCTATTGAACATCCATTTCTTTATTTTCGAAGCAGTGTAAATTTGACTGCATTTGATTACTTGATTTTAATACTAAAAGACTCTCTCTTTTAAATGCCGAAGATTTTGTTTAGAGTGAGTCTAAAATGTGATTTACTCACTTGAGTGCAATGAATTTAAAAATGTATAAATAATTATTTTTTAAGTTGCATATAATTGTTATTTTCAATTAAACTAACTACAATAACTCAATACATAGAAATGCATCTAAAGAGTATAAGCAAGTCTTGAAACCACAGCTGCAAATATAAAAAAAAAATATATATATAATATAAACCCCTCTCCCTCTCACTCCCACTATATCACTCTCATCTCTCTTTCGCACGTGTTCGCCTTTAGCAATCTGTGATAGCAACAATAACAACTTGCCCAGCAAAATCTTTTGCTTTTGCAGCATGTCCAATTGGCTTGTGCAGGTGTGGTTTATTATTATTTTTATTATTATTATTTCTTTTTCTTTTGACAGATTAATAGATTTGTTCATGTGCAATTAATTTGCTTGTATTTGTTTATTTGCTGACATGAGACGTATATTGTTATTGTTGCCTGTTTGCCTGCGGGTTGGAGGTTATTGGAACAGCAATTACTTGGCCAGCGTTATGGGTTGCGCTTATTGGGTGAGCACTGTGGGCAAAGCATTTCGTTGTGGCTTCATATTTGTAGTTAGTGCGCTCTGTTTACTGTTGATTCAGCTCAAGCCAATTAAGTTGATTGCCACAGATTTCTTTAACCTCATTAGATGGATTTTGTGGAGTTAACCAACCTGTTGGTGGAAAATGCTACAATCATTAAATGGCTGATTCCCTAACTGAGTTGGTAATTTGTATTCATTAACTGGGCCAAGTGACGTGTGTGTGAGTATATGTGAATGCGACTGCGAGTGCGAGTGTGTGTGTGCATCCAAGTTTCCTACCTTAATTGGTTGGCCAAAAGATGACCAACACAACAAAAACGTTTTCGAATTAACCTTGACCGTCTCTGTGCCTGTGAACTAAATGTCGACTGTTGACTTGAAGCTTCTTCCTCGATGAGATAGACCCATATAATAATAACCAACCATAATGATATAACAATGCCCGGCAACAATAAAACAGCTCTTTTCTCCAGTTTTATCTGTTCCGTTTCTTGTGCCAAGTGCTATTTAAAATCATTAAGCGACCTTGCATTGTTTTCATTTTGTGACGCCTTAGAATCTGGAAATCTGGGTTACTTCTGCTTAGTTGAACAATTTATGTTTACATGGATAATTCTTTGATTGTTGTTACCCTAAACATAATTTTTATTTGTTCTTTTTTTTTCTTTTGCATAATGTTAATTTTGTATTTTGTTTTTCTGTTTTATTTTCAGGTAAGTTCAAGACCTGCAACATAAATCAAAATCCAAGAGACAAGCAGGCAAAATCAACAAAATCCGACTGGAGGTTAACTTCTTGCTGATATCTTTGCCGGCGCTCATTTCAGTGTTATGGGCAACAAATGAAGAGCTAAGACAGTCAATTAAGAGCCTCAGCTAACAACATTAACAAATTGCAATTTTTCAGAATGGAGTTGTCCAAAGTTTTGATTTTGAATACCCCAACACACGTATATAGAGATATATATATATACACAAGAAAATCGACAACAACATAATATACAGATGTCATTCGAATTCTTAACGAAGATATTAATAAACTTAATAACCACAACATTTGTGATTTAATGATTAGATAATGTCTTCTTTTATGTGCATAACTGCTTCTTAAGCATAACAAATTTCAAATAATTCGCTTATAAATAATTATTATATTTCTTATTAATAAGAAAAAAATGCAATACAACAAAAAGAGGCAAATTAAAGGTTCTGCTTATCAAGTGAATTATTATTTAAAACATCATATCTACTTGTGACATATTATTTTAAATTTCATATTTGCTGAATTTTCATTTAAATTTCTAATACATTCACTAATTGAGAAAATTTGTGTGAAATTTATTTTACACGTCAAATTTTTTAGATTTAGATTTTTACTTTCATTTCTATATGATCAATTTTATTAAAGGTTGTTAAAATCAATTTGTTAAAAAATCTTACTACATTTTAGTACGAAAATATTGTTTGAAATTTATTTTAAATGTGACATTTACTGGATTTGTAATTCGAATTTGCAGTTCGATCTGAGTTGTTGACATTTTTGTTTGACTTTTCGAAATAATTTCAACCGCCCCCAAACAAATACCATTGAAAAATGCTATTTATCGCTTATATATAGATATTTAATGTGCTTTTCTGGGTGTGTTGCGGCGACCCCATTGATAAAATACGTTTTGTATGGTAATTTGCAAAGCGTTGCATTCTTCTTGTGGGTGCCTTTGATTCACTTTAGTCCAACAAGTGGGCGCGCATTCGATGTATGTATGTATGTATCGTATATATGTATAAGCAAATAGGCATTTGCATGCCAAAAGTCTGAGTCAAAATATGGGTAAAAACCAAAAACATTTGCATGAGCCAGAAACGCAAAGTGCTATAAACAGTTGGCCAATTTTTGAGAACACAAAAATCTTTTTAGGCCATGTTGTTTGCGCTTGGAATAAGTCTGATTAAATTCCATACACTTGATAAAGTAAATACTCCCCAACTATGAGCATAAGTTTCATAAGAATCATTACAACTCCTGAAATAGACGTTTTTTTCTATTTATAAAGTATTTAGGAAATATTCAAGTATATAAATTTTCAATTGATTTCAATAATATATATGTTATGTCAATATTTTCCTCGAAAACTGAAAGTTTCCGATTATACCGAAGATAACTGCAGTCTTTTCAGATAATGCTCCTATGAAATTACTACATAATTAGCTAAGCCCATTTCAGGTATTTGACGTTTTCTTTGTAATACTTTTCATGGTATTTTCCAATTGGCTTTCTGCGCCTACAACTTCCGCTACAACTAACAACCAGCTATAATATAGTGTTACCAAGTTTGGCGCTACCAATTTCAGTATGCAAAGCATTTGCCGTTTGGCGTTTGTTTGCCATGACTCACGAGACAGACGACAATTGACAGTTGTCTGTCTCACTCTGGCTGGGCAGTAAGCCCACTGCCACGCCCACCAGGTGCCACACTGATGGGTGCATTGAACGCATTTACTTTTGCATCGCTTCTCTTTGTGCTGCGTTGCACGATTTTCCAAACACAATCATTTTCGCTTTTTCCTTTTAATTGGCGTTTCTTGTGTTTTGATCGAGCTTTTCCTCCATCTCTCCTCGTATTCGTCTGTGTTTTGTTTCGCTTTGTTTCTTTGTATGTTTTCTGCACTCTGTTTTGCTGTCGCCTCCACAACTTGTTGCAACTGTGCCACAGTTCGCTGTCCAATGTCCACTGCGGTTGTTGTTGTTGTTGTTTGACTATGACTCGTGCCGAGACTGCTGTGATTTGTATGGCTTCCAAACTGGGCCCTAACTCCACCCTGCCCTGCCCTGCCCCGCCTTGTCACGCCCTGCCATGCCCTACCTGTCTGTCGAGCAGAACGTGGTGCAAAACTTTGATTTCATTTTGACAAATGGCCAAGCCATAACTCATAAACAATGGCAAAGCTTACGATTTGGCCAAAAAGAAAGCGTTAACGTCCAAAACGGAAATGCTGCTGAGCCATGAGCCAGGCCCAAACTCAGTTGCCATTACTTGCCAATTGAGCGAAAGTAAATCGCAAAGCCAAATTTTAAACATTGTAAGTTTTTATGGCAAATGTAATTTGTGGTAATCGTGGAAATCGAAAAATGTAAAGCCATTGTTAATATATCTTTAACTAGAATCTAATCAGTCCATTTAGTTTCTTTTATCTTTGTCTAATTCATGGTTTACTTTTAAGTTTTAGTCTGTCAGCTGTACTGATATTATCAACAACAAATAATATTTGTCCATTTCTGACTTCAACACGCTTTGCTGTTATGCACCAAAACGTTAACCTTTCAATATTTAAAGTTTGATAAATTCCATTTGACGCTCAAGCTATTTCTGCAACTAAATTGCCCCACTCAAGAGCGACATTCATAAAATTCAACCGGATTCCTATCGGCTTGTTATGATAATTTAACAGGGGCAATAAACAATTCCCACAAACAGGCAGCAGCTTCTGACTTTGAGGTTGCGATAGCCAAACAAGTATCACTCAATAAATCTGCCAAAAATATATGTATATAAAAGCAAACTGCAACTGATATCCTCGAAATGACAATGATGTGATTCATATTAGCTAGCTGTGACTCACAGCCAATGTATCGATTGTATTTGCCATGTCCAATGAATGGGACACCACCCGTGGAGTACTCGTGTACACTCGGAAAAAAGATCGACCTGAACTTTAAAAATCGTTAAACCTTTGGCGGCAAGTGCATGCCCCAAATCGAGTTATTTTCTTAATGCAGTGCTAAATATTTCTTTCTTGTATTTGGCTTTACAAGATTTCACATATCTTAAATGTTTAAATATTCATTTAATTTAATTTGAAAAAAAAAGTAAATTTAACGTCGCTTTGAAATCGCTACCTTTTCACAATCAAATTTTATTACTTTTTTCTGAAACTGAAAAAGAGTTTTAAAAAGAAAATAAATATTTTGTATATCTACTTTGTTTACTCTTATTTTTAAAAAATAAATGAGTCTTAATTATAAATTATTTTTAAAAACAAGAAAAACGTTCTTATTTTTATAATGATATTTATTTTGTCTAAATATCAGCCCGATTTTTTTTCTGAGTGAATTTAGTCTTGTATTTGACTTGGTGCATGTGCCACAGCCGAGATGGAGTCGGTGACATAACAGGCACAAATATTTTGAAAACAAAAGAGTCATGAGAGTTGTTGGCCTGGTTGGCCAGGTGTGTGCAATGACTGGGCCAACTCTTATGGGCTCTGCAGTCGGTGTGAACTTTGCGCCCTACCCCGGCCTAAAGGCAATCGAGTGTGGCCAAATTGATTACAGCTGCTCAAAATCCTTGACCCATAAATGCCAGTTGAGCACTTTTTTAGTTCGTATGCTTTTGCTGTCTTGCCATTTCCGTTTTGTTGCAAAGTGCAAAGTGGCAAACATAAAAGTTACAAATTATTTTTTCTTCAACGCCATTAATGCGTTTTTTTGCTTTTCGAAAATTATATACCCAAAATACGGCTTTACATTTTACCCAGGAACGCCCCATTGCAAAGTTTTTTTTCCATCCAATTTCAAGGTAAATTGGCGGTCTGAGGTTGTTTCTTTGGTTGTTTTGGTCATAGCCCTCTTGATTGTCACTTGGCACTTGTGGCTGCCGTTAAATTACACTCATCAGATTACGCAATTGACAATTGCTAAAATCAAGACATTTATCACTTAAGAGTGAATCGCTGGAGTTGTGAATAAAATGTTTGTCTATGAACGGTGTGAAGCAGAACATTAAGCAGTATCTGAATACACGTCTAAAGTAGCGCATCTAAAATATATAATATTTGTGTATCCCAGAAATAATAAATATATACTATTTGATATTAACTTTCTTTATCATAAAGCTGGTCAGTGATTAAAAATCATGGTTATTCCAATTTCATTAAAAATGAGTATTCTTTAAATCATCAAATTTGGGAATTTTTCTTAATCTGTTGTTAAGTGATTCACTCCTTCAAAGCATGACTGTTAATTATTCGCAGTATAAAAGAAACCCGCTGAAAATCTTTTTTTTTTTTTTATATCTTTTACATTTTTGTTGAAGTTGAGTTTTAAGAAGACTTCTTTCACCAAACTTCGCCTACATAAAAATGCTTAAGAATTAAATCTTTGGAGATTTCTAAATTTGGTTTTAAAATAAAAAAAAAGACAAAGACAAATGCGTAAAATAAATTTGCGAGTGCCAAAAAAAGGTTAACAAAAATGGTAAACAATCTTTGCTTTAGTTTTGTTGCCTTAGTTTTTTATTTATATCTTATTTTTTTGTAATTATTATCTTATTGTCGGTTTGCTGGGCTTTGCTTGTGATTTATTGAGTGAAGAACAAGGTTCTTTCTATCTATCTATCTACTTATCTATTCTTATGGCTATCGTTCTTGGTTACTCGTTTGGAACATTTGCATATTCGCCGCTTTGGGGCGTTATTTAAAGGCTGTGGGTGTGTTGACCACTTTAAAATGGGCGTGTCTCCATCATGAGAGCCATAGTAGATTGATGAATACCCTAAGTGGCTTGGCACTCTCATCCGCACGTAAGTGCCTGAAATTGGCTTCATTTTCAAGCAGCCCAGCAAGCCAGCCAGCCAGCCAGTGAAGCAGTTCAATGCCCTACTGACTAAATGGCAGGCAAAGGTGAAGAGTGTGATTTTAAAGCAAATACACTTGAATAACCATCGAATGGCTACCTCACCTCATCTCAGAA